CCCTTATTTTGTAAGAAACAACTATTTTTTTAATTATTGTATTTCTCTTTCTTACCGATCTCACTTAACTATTTTATTATTTATTTTTTCTAATAATAACTAAATATATGATATATCCTCACTAACTATATACAGTACTTTATATTTCCTAAAAAAATGTATAGTACTTTATAATTTATATTATAAAATTTACCTTTTAGTCCCTGACCTATAATTCCCCTAAAACTTTATGCAACACTTATTGTTGTGATTATTATGACACAGTGAGAGTATTTGTGAGACCAAAAACTTTTGTATACACCCAATTTACACTAATTTTACTGTACATCGAGCAGTATAAGGGTAATTTTTACCTAATTTTAGGGTAACTTTTTGCCTTTTTTCACTACAAGAAAAATCTCTTTTCGTAGCGATTATTTCGTATCGATTGTACATTCGCTACAATATACAAGTATGTTTGTGAAATAATTAAGGATGTTGTATCATTTTTACAATCGCCATGGTTTTCCCATAAAAAATCGATACGGAAAACATAATAATACATATTAACACTATTTTTACACATTTATATAATTTTGAGAAATCGTAACATTTACAATCGCCACTAAATCCTAAAAATCGATACGAAAAGCCTTTTCAACACTTAATATATAAATATTATTTGACAAAGAATACATAAAATATGTCATAGCTTATTGGTGAAACATTTAATATAAGAGTTTGAGGTTGCATGTTCGAATCTTGTAAAGATCATACGCATGTTTTTTTTTTGAAGAAAATAAGTTAAACATTTATAGCGATTGTAATCGCTACAATAATCACCACGATTGGATGTAATTTTTCGTATCGATTATTGAGGCCAACCCCAGCGATATTGAAAACCACTACTAAAGGCTAAGACAACAGGGGATATAGTATCGAATGACCATTCGTTGGGAAAACTCTTTGTTGCAATTACAATCAATACTAAAAGTTAAAATAATCGCTACGAAAATGTTATTTTCTTGTAGTGTTTTGGGTAACTTTTAACATAATACAATTTTTATATAAATAGACAATAAAAAAAGTTTTATAATGGTAATTTAATTAAATTTAATCACAAATAATTGATTTTTAGTCATTTAAAATGTGATTCTTTACTAATAATTTTTAGAAAAAATTGCGGAAAATAATACAACCTTTAGGCGATTCTTTTTTAATAATACAACCTTTCGATTAAGTCTTAATAATATAACCTTTGGGGGTGTTGATTTTAAACAAGACAAAAAACATGTAACTTGGTAAACAAGTCACCTTTGACACGTGTCGTTATGTAATTTGTCTAAACATTAAAATTTGATTTTTTTTAAAAAAAAAATTGATTTACAAAAAATTATAATAAAACCCCCCTGCCTGTCCAGCCCCCTCCCCCGCTAGCCGCCGGTGACAAGCCCACCTCCCCCACCCCGAGCCTAGCTACCTGCTCGCCCATCCTTAATCTCCAACCACCGGCATCATCCTCGACCCTACTCTCTTCTTCACACATCATGCTCGCGCCCCGACATCACCATCAATCACAAATCTCAACAAATCAATGGCGGAGGGTGAAAATGTTTAAAATTGGTGGCAAATTGCTGAATGGGGATGGCTAATTGGCGATAATTGGGGGTAATTGGTGGCGTTGGTTGTAATTTGGTGCGTGATTGGGGACTTGGTGATGCGGGTGCGAGAAGAAGGGTGGAGTAGCAATGATTGTTGGGTTCGTGAGGTCGGTGTGCTGTGTGGGAGTTTTTGGTGATCTTGGTTGGTTGCGGTGGTCAGGAAAGGTGGAATGGGGGCTGTGGTGGTCAGGAAAGGTGGAGTGATTGGCTGTGGGGGTTGGGAAAGTAGGAATGGTGGCTGCGGTGGTCGCGAACTGTGTAATGGTGGGTTACGTAGGAGTTTTGGCCTTGTTGTGGGGGTTGGCAGCGGGGTGGTCGGGAAAGGGAAGGGTCGATTCTGGTTGTGGGGATTGGCAGTGGGGTTGGCAGTGGTACAGTGGTGGTGGGGCTGGAAAGAGAGGGGGAGCAATGGTGGTTTATTAGTGTTTAGGGAAGGGGACAGAAAATAAAAATAAAAAAATAAAAAAATATTTAAGCCAATCATATAATGACATGTGGCAGTGGTAACTTGTTTATCCGGTTGCATCCGGTTATGTCTTATTTAAAATCAACACCCCCAAAGGTTATATTATTAAGACTTAATCAAAAGGTTGTATTATTAAAAAAGAATCGCCTAAAGGTTGTATTATTTTCCGCAATTTTTTCTAATTTTTATTTGTATTGGATTACTTTTATGCATATTATGGTAACTTTTATTTATTTTAGGGGTAACTTTTGATCAATCTAGTCTATCTTTATAGTGGATGTACAATAATTATTATACACCCGATTTTTTTAAAAGTTTGTATTGTGAGACGTAGTAGTAGTACTCGTAAAGTCTTACGTACTCCGTACAAGCATGAGCTAATAAGCATATAAACAAGCAGCATATGAACAACCGAACAAGCATGAGCTAATAAGCATATGAACACAAGCGAAGCATGACTAGAGACCTGAGTAGAAAACAATGACTCTTGATTGATGGCAAACCTATGAGTCTATGACAATTGACAAACAATGTTGAGATACTTTTCCATCAATCATTTTGTCTTTTTTTTTTTTTGAGATACTTTTCCATCAATCATTAAATACTTCAATATTCTGGTCATCGCAAGAGCCGGAATGCATTATTTCTTTTCAAATTCACTCTAATTTCCAACTTTAACTTCATTTATTTGGGGTCAAAGTGTGAAACTTTAAAAATTTTGACGAAAAATTCTCATTAATCAATAAGAAATCAGATAATATAGTCATGTATGATTTGTTAGATTCGTTTCATTGTATTATTTACCGACATCAATTATATGTATGAAAATAAAATTATATGTGTTTTAAGATTCGTCTTGTCTTGGAGATCATAATAAGTCAAATGGGGCAAAAAAAATAGGGACGGAAGGAATATTCGCTTATGTTTAATATATGTTGCTACGTGCTAGCTAATAGAGTATATTTCCTCCATTTTAATTTTAATCGTACCATTTGGGATTTTACACTATTATTTACATAACCATTTTTTACCATCTTTTGTAATTTATCCAAAGAAAAAATAGTCAAATGAGATCTCGCTAGATTCGACTCAACGTTTATTTTACAAATATCAAAATTTTAAAATTTTTAATGGTCAAAATATTGCATCACCAATAGTGAAATGGCAAATGGTGCAACTAAAGAAAGGGAAAAAGTATAAATCAACAATGGATATTAATTATCTACTCAAATTAAGCTTATGATTGAGATAGTTTTTTAAAAAATTGCATTGAGAATCAATGTTACATAAACTAAGGTCACGGTTTCAAATCTCTTTCACCCCTTCTTTCAAGTAAAATATTTAGCGCGGAGTATGAGAAAACTCATGTTACATCCACATTTTAAGCTCAATCGACTCTCTTGTGAGAGGGCGAAAATGCGTGATAGAGTTTTAACTATTATAACAACATTAACAATATAGATAAATCAATTTTGGAAAAAATCATAGTTATCTAGTGTTAATTCTAAAGATTCTTTGTTTGTGAAAAACAACCTTATACATTAAATAAAGACGTTTATTAATTTACACTATATTTGGATAGAGAGAAATGGAGGGAATAAAAGAGAAGAAAAGGGGAAGGATACATAATCTTTATTTTGATACCTAATGCAATAGGGGGGGGGGGATTGAAAGGACCCATTTTCTTTCCCCTTTTAATAAACCAAATCCCTCAACAATCACTTTTGTATACACCCGGTTTTCAGTAATTTACTGTACATCGAGTTCACTTTTGTCAAATTTAGTGTCACTTTGTCAAATTTAGTATCACTTTTGTGAAATTTATCAATGAAGCATAAATAACTTTTATATATGTCAGAATAACTTTTGTGCGTTTTAGTGTAACTTTTGCACCTTTTATTGTCACTTTATAACGGATGTTCAGTAATTTACTGAACATTCGTTTTATTTAAAAGTTTGTGATCCCTCAATTGTCTGAGAAATTTGGAAGGAAAATAGAAGCTCACCTTTCTCCCTCCTCTCACCTCCCTCTTTTATCTTCCTTTCCCTTTCTCTTCACTAGTGTTATTCAAACATAGTATTAATGATTATTCATTTCCCACCCAGTTACCAAATCAGCTCATGTAATCTTTCCTGCACTATGGAAGTCACAATTCCAATTATGGGATTTCGAGCCTGTACAATAAGACAAATTCTTATGTTATACGAGTACTTCCTCAATATGACATTTTAGTGCTACAAATATTGTTTAGGTCGGTTTCATTTTAGTCGTGATTACATTCCTAAATTAATTAGCAAAGTTAATTTCAAACATATGAGCTCACCAAATTACCCTGATTATTTCCTCCCTAAGTTTTATTGACCAATAATTTGTCTCAATCTCTTTTTACCAAGCAAAGCCGGTGGAGTTGGTCATAAGTTTGAACCCCACCAACTACAAAATGCTTGGGAGTAGGGGGATTCCCTTACCTCCCCCCCCCCCCCTATATTCTCAAGTGTCGACTTGTATAGCTGGATTGACTAAATCTATTAGAGGTGTTAGTTCAGTAGTGAAAAAAAAATACTGTGTACTGTACCTGTACGGAGTAATATTTTTGAACTAAAGGTAAGTAACTTCACAAATTGTTATGCCTATTATTTTAATTCACCAGTCTTATTTTAATGTAGAATAAAAGCTATTAAAAAAAAATTAAATCAATATAGAAACAACATACTCCGTATATGAATTGAAATACAATACAATTTATTTATTCAAAGTGGACAACACATATGCTTTGCGTGAAGTGAACCTACATAGGTGTTTTTTTAAGGAAACGTTAGTAGGGAGATTTTATTTCAGGTCAAGTTTCGTATATAGTGAAACTACATGGCTTTGTAGAGCTATGTGATGAAATACTAGCTCCAACTATTTGAAAACTGCAAGCTAGAACCTATTTACAATCATTATAGATGCTCTAAGGATTATGACCATTTAGAGGCTTAGAGCCCTTAGGTCTTTGCAATCTCCACTTATTTTTAAGGAAATTGTACAAGATGAAACTCAAGTTTTACAAGATCAAATCAGTTGTTGCAATCTTTCCTGCACTCTAGAAGTCTCTACTCCAATCCTTGAACTCTGAGCCTGTACATACAATAAGAAAAACTCTTAGTGTTACAGTGCCTACAAATATTATTCATGTGGATCTCAATTTATTTACTTTGTTGTCTCACCCATAATAACAATTTAGCATAAATAAAATATTAAAAAAAAAAAAAAAAAAGTTACCCTAGCATGGAGAGTGTGGAGGACATAGTTCCCATGAGTTGAGAAAGTAGCATCGACAACTTCAGCTCCTTCTTCCTCAAGAACCCTAATCACTTCATGTAACTTGATTTCGCAGTCTCGTTGCACCACAATTTGCACCTCTATAACACTACCCAAATCTTTCACTTCAATACTAGTGGGTATTAAGCCTGAATTATTTGTCATCATTGTTGTATCATTACAACTTAAGTTTTCGGTATTAGATGTTCCTTCTTGATTAACCATTAATTGATCTCTTCTCTGATTTAAGTTCTCTACTCTTTCTCTCAATCCCACTATGTAATTTGTAGCTTGTTCTATCTGATCAGCTTGAGATAGTGTATCCTACACAACAAATATTAGTTTACTACAGTTGTTTGAAATATAATAACTATATATCGATCATAGTATTTTAATGATAAAACAATATGATCGGGTCATTTATTTGACATTATATTATGGACACAGATAGTTTTTTAATATTTACCAGGTAAATTATAAATAAAAATAAAAAAAGGAAATTAAACTACAAATTGGGTGAATAAGAAAAATATAATATTGATGATATAGATATACACTTTATTATTTGAGAGAAATAAGTCAATTATGGATTACATAGTTATTATTCACAAAATATTATGTTAGTAATAATTCAAATTACTACTACAAATTTTTAGTAAAATATGCTCTAAAATATTGAAATGAAACAATAATACAAGGTGGACTGGTGGAAAATATAATCTTGTACTAGGTTTTCCTTAGTCCTGAAATCAAAATATCAAATCCGCAAAATCTTTTAATAGCGGACAACATTCACAAGTATATAAACAGCTTTCATCCCCTCTACTTCAATTCACATATATATACTTCGTATATTACAACACAAGTTGGTGTGTACAGTGTACACCGGAAACATACATGTTAAGCACGATCTTAAGAATTGCAGCATAAAAGTCTCATGATTTCAAAAACAACACAATATACTTATAAGGTATAATTTCTTGAAAGATAAGATCAACTAAGGGCTTGTTTGGTTCACTTTATTTTTGCTTATCTTATCTGATATGATCTAGTTTGGTCTTATCTGGTTGTCTAATTTGACTAAACTTTGGCCCTAAATGTACGATAATCTATAGGGAAAAAAAATACTACATCCGTTACATATTATTTGCAACGATTAGACATTTTTCCTCTCTACTTTATATCAAATCGTTGCAAATAATATGTAACGGAGGTAGTATATCAAGTGGATCTTGTTAGATTCGTAATAATGTGTACGAGTATTTTATTAATATGTAATTTTCAAAAAAAATTTAATTACGAAATTAAAGATATTTAGCGGTCGATAAAAAACTGCACATAAAACGATGATCTAATATGATTTTTATTTTCTGATCTGATCTGAACTTTTTTTTTTAATCTGATCTGATCTGATCTAAACTTAAATTTCTTTTTTTTTTTTTTAAATAAGTAAAAACAAGGCGAACTAAATAAAGCCTAATTAACCAGATCTCTAACACAAATATATGTTTCCAATTTTAACTTCTTAATATCACCTACAATTCAGATCTTTAATCTGGCTAGTCTAAGAATTGAAGTTCTAACAGCTAGGGGTAATTGGTTCATTTGCTTCAACCTCTAAAAAAGAAAATTAGATTATACACAAAAGTTTAGAAAAAGTGGGTTTACAATAACTTAATGAATGACAATGGCGTGCGAAAGTTTACATACGCAAGATTCTATTTTTTTCTCTCATGGGTTTGTATTTGATTTTTTTTCCTGCTCTTCATCTCTTTCCTCTGCACTTCTTCTCTCTCCTTTGCACTTCTTCTTTGTTCTTCAATTTCCTTCTTTTTTTTACGATTATATCTTGATTTTGTAACAAAATTTTCCTGTTTTGATCAATGATTCATCTTCTACAGCTAATTTCAAGGTATGTATGTTCATTTAATTTTTCACCCACTACGAAAGCCACCACTGCCGCGAGCTTGAGCCTCGTTAACAGTGATCTGACGATTGTTGAGTGTTTGGCTGTTCATTCCTTCGATCGCGGCATCAAGCTCTTCGTTCCTTGCTTCCGAAGGTAATGATGGTGACGATGCTTGTATGGTAATTGGAAGCAGTAGCAAAAATTTTGGAATCAAAGTAAAATAATACTTGTCTGGTTTACTTTTGAAAAAAACAAAAAAAAAAACCAGTGAGACTTTGATACTTTGTTTTGCAATTTGCATACGTAGCTCAATTACTTTTGTGATAAAAAGGGTCACTTTTGTGAAAAAAGGTCACTTTTGTAAAAAAAAAAAAAAGAACACTTTTGTGAAAATATGGGTTACTTTTGTAATAAAAAGGGTCACTTATGTGAAAAAAGGCCACTTTTGTAAAAAAAAGGGTCACTTTTGTGAAAATATGGATCACTTTTGTAATAAAAAGGGTCACTTTTGTAAAGAAAAATGGTCACTTTTATAAAGAAAAAGGGTCACTTTTCGCAAAAAAAAAGGTAACTTTTGTGAAAATATAGGTTATTTTTATATATAAAAAAAAGGGGGTCACTTTTGTAAAAAAAAGGGTCACTTTTTTGAAAAAAAGGGTCACTTTTGTGAAAATATGGGTCACTTTTATAAGAAAAAATGGTCACTTTTCATAAAATGTTCGATGTACAATAAAATTATTGTAAACTGGGTGCATGCAAAAGGTTTCCTAGATTATATTATATGTACTTAGTAACAAGATAATCTAGGCGTCTACGGTGCATTCACCTTACTAGGTTTTACACAGCAACACTTGATGAAGTGGTGTATGTACTTAACTCATCGATCAATTAATATGATCTTTACAACTCACAATTTAATAACTAAGAATAATCCAAGATTGAATGAAAAGTATAAAAAAAAATTGAAAGATCAATGCAAATAATAATTAGGTTATCCTGGGTAAACAAAGATGTATAAAGATTTTTATAATCACACATTATATATTAATCATAACTCTCTTGAATCTAACAGAGGATACCAAAAATAATGATCATTAGAACTTTTGTTTTCGGTCGTATTAGATGTTCCTTCTTGATTAACCATTAATTGATCTCTTCTCTTGTTTAAGTTCTCTACTCTTTCTCTCAACTCCACTATGTAATTTGTTGCTTGTTCTATCTGATCAGCTTGAGATAGTGTATCCTACCCAACAAAAAATTGTTTAGCATAGTGGTTGTTTGAAGTATAACTATATATCATAGTATTTTAATGATAAAATAAAATGATCGGGTCATTTTTTGACATTATAATAATATGGACACAGATAGTTTTTTAATATTTACCATGCAAATAATAAATAAAAAAAAATAAAGGAAACTACAAATTAAAATTGGATAAATAAAAAATATAATATTGATGATACTATTTTATACCAAAATATAGAAATACACTTTATTATTTGAGAAAAATAAGTCAAAATATAGAAATATTGAAATGAAACAATAATACAAGGCGCGTGGAAAAATATAATCTTGTACTAGGTTTTCCTTAAATCCTGAAATCAAATGAAAATTTTAAGGTATAGGCGACTATACCATGCTTGGTACAGACAAAAAACGCGGAATGAACATGTATATGTTTTATAAATAACATACAACTGTTTTATAAAGAACATGTAGCTGTTTTGTAAAGAACATCCAGCTTTATGTTTTTTTTTATAATCTAAAGAACATATGTAATATTATTAAAGAACATGATAATATTATGTAATGAACATTATTTATATATACCCACTATAATTTGGAAAAAAATTCAAAGAACATTTAACAATAAGCAATGAGCATTATGTCACAAATAAAAGCACATTATACAGATAATCAAAGAACATGAACATATGTTATTTTCACTTTTTTTTTGGTGTAAATATGTTTTTTTCACTGAAGGGTATATGTTCATTACATTTTAATAGTATGTTCTTTTTATTATAGTTATATGTTCTTCACTTTTCTATATTATGTTCTTTCATGCAAAACGGCTGTACAATGCAGCGTATCGGCGCCTGCAGGAACCACTGATTGGAAATCAAATCCGCAAAATCATTTATTAGTGGACAACATTCACAAGTATATAAACAACTTTCATCTCCTCTACTTCAATTCGTATATATATTACAGCACAAGTTGGTGTGTACAGTGTACACCGGAAACATACATGTTAAGCACCATCTTAAGAATTGCAGGATAAAAGTCTCTTGATTTCAAGAACAATATATAATATACTTACAGGGGTATAATTTCTTGAAAGATAAGGGGAATGTTTGGCAAAATATAGCTGTGAAGGTAGATGTTAGCTGTCAACAAGTTGTTAGCTATGAATATAGATAATTTAGGTATGAATGTTCGGTAAATTAGCGGTTGTCTTATAAAGATCAATATTTTATTTTTAATTAAAACTATAGATTAAATTTTCAACAGTTACCTCTACTTTCAAAAACTAAAATTTCTAATTTTTCATAAAAGCCCTCGACCACTAAGCTAAAAGCTACCCTAACCACTACTTTGCCAAACACTCACATTTTTTTTTATTAAGTAGTGGTTTGACCAATTCAAACCACTTAAAGCTACTCAAAAGCTAGCGTCGAACACGCCCAAGATCAACTAAAGGCTTGTTTGGTTAACCTTATTTTTGCTTATCTGATCTGGTCTTGTCTGGTTGTTGATATGATTTCATTGTCTAATTTGACTAAATTTTTACCTAAAATGTACGATAATCTATAAGGAAAAAATGTATCAAGTAGGATCTCGTTAGATTCGTAATAATGTGTATTTTATTACTATGTAATTTTCACAATTTTTTTAATTACGAAATTAAAGATATTTAGCGATAAAAAACTGCACATAAAATAATGATTTGAGCTGAACTTGTTTTCTTATCTGATCTGATTTGAATGAACTTATTTTTTCTGAAATAAGTAAAAATAAGATGAACTAAACAAGGCTAATTAACAAGACTCTAACACAAATATATGTTTCCAAAATTAACTTTTTAATATCACCTACAATTCAGATCTCTAATTTGGCTAGTCTAGAATTGAAGTTCTAACAGCTAGCTAGGGCTAGTTGGTTCATTTGCTTCAACCTCTAAAAAAGAAAATTAGATTATATTATATGTACTTAGAAACAAGATAATCTAGGCGTCTACGGTGCATTCACCTTACTACTGTTACTAGGTTTTACACAGCAACACTTGATGAAGTGGTCTATATATGTACTTAACTCATCGATCAATTAATATGATCTTTATAACTCACAATTTAATAACTAAGAATAATCCAAGATTGAATGAAAAGTAGAAAAAAAAAAAAATTGAAAGATCAATGCAAATACTCTTTATATCTCACAACTTAATAACTAAGAATAATCCAAGATTGAATGAAAAGTAGAAAAAAAAAATATAAAAAAATTGAAAGATCAATGCAAATAATAATTAGGTTATCCTGGGTATGTATAAAGATTTTTATAATCACACATTATATATTAACCACAACTCTCTTGAATCTTACAGAGGATACCAAAAGGCTTAGGAAATAAAGAAAACCTAAATTTCCATAATTAGTATAGTTAATAACCCTGGCTATAACTTAGACTTGACTTGAAAAAAAAAAAAAAAAAATATGTAAAAGCTAGACAACTCATTTAAACCATCTTCAATTACTTGAGGAAGAACTAAATCTGAAGAGCTATTAAATTACATCTATCCTTGCTTATAACTCGATCAACTTCGCGGTGTTTCATGGCAGTTTGTGCCAGTATAGACGACCAAGCAAAGTTAAAATTATGGGATACTCTTGGATTTAATCTACTGTAAGATATATATATAATTGCATCTCTCAAAAAAAAAAAAGATATTCATATATGTAGCACAAAATCAAGTATGAAATAGCTAGCATACTACTTGTAAGAAAATAAATATAGAGTAATATATACGACCCGAAATCGATCATATACATACCAATGAATTATGAAAGTGTTGAGGAGGAATAATAGAAGTGAGGGTGGAGCAAAGCTGACTGAATTGAGATCTACTACTATTTCTCTTCGCAGCATTACTACTATCTTTTTGCGGTTGCGGCTCATGCTTAGATGATGAAGAAGGCGTTTCAAAACCCCTTTTATTTTTCATGATTTAAACATGCATGAGTTAATAAATTAATTGGGTCATCAATTATATATATATATATATATATATATATATAGGGGCAGGATCATGTGAGAATCAAGGCTTATATGAGAACCTGGTTAAAATGAGAACCAATCTCATGCCATCCATTTAATTAGATCTGACGGTACACATTTTGCATAGAAAGTGTAATTAATCAGCCCCATTTTGCACGCATTCCAGAAATTGAAGAGACAGAAAATCTTATGACCCACCACTTTCTATTCTTTCTAGAAATTCTCCCATCTTCCAATTTCTCTTTCCTCCATTACTGAATTCTTTCTGCCATTGAATCAACCATGTCTACCTATCAAAAAAAAGCAACCATGTCTAACCTACCTCAAGAATATTGATTTTAGAAGGACGAAAACGAAGAAGAATTATCAATAATCATCCTGAGTAATGGTCTTCCTTCTTCAATTGCGTCAAATGTTTATGGTCTTTTGGTTGGGAAAAGCTCATTCACAATGTCATTAATGGTGGCAAACATCCTTTTATCATTTTGTTAATTTCGTTTTTTTATTGGGGTAAAGGTAGTATAAGATTTTTATTTCAATTGATTAGGACAATTAATTTTTGTTTTTTAAGAAAAAAAATGCACATTCATGTAATAAATCTGCGTATTTTGTTTACAAAATTTACATATTTGATTTTTAATTACTTATTTTATTGTATTAAAGAAATAATTTTTAGATGTTTCAAAAGATGTTATTATTGTTTCAAAAAGACTTGTCGCTGTTTCAATTAAAAAATGTAATGTTACATTGAATTGTGTTGTCAACGTTACGTTAAAATGTAGTTGAAGTGTACGTTAATGATGTTTCATAAAATATATTAAGTGTTTCAATTTATAATATTAATGTTTCATATATATTATTGCTTGTTTCATATAGTTGGGCTCTATATGTATAAAACTTTATTGATGTTTCAAAAAACATACCTTATGTTTCATTTTATACTACTTATGTTCCATAAAATATATGTATTGTTTCATATACTAATGATATTGTTTTATACATAAAAATCATTGATGTTTCATATAATATTTCATTCGAATATTATTTATATTGTTCCAGAAATATGAATTATTGTCCCATAAATATTATACATTGTTCATACATAAGAATTAGTGTTCCAATTATATGATATGCTATAGTTCTCGAATTTTAATTATGTTGTTCCATAAATTTGAAATGATGTACCACACATATGGTCTATTGTTCCATAGCCATGAACTAGTGTTCCAATTGGATGATATGCTCATTATTGTCAAATAGTATTTATTGTTCCAGAAATATGAACTATTGTCCCATAAATATTATATATTGTTCCATACATAAGAATTAGTGTTCCAATTACATGATATGCCCATAGTTCTCGAATTTTAATTATGTTGTTCCAGAAATTTAAACTATTGTACCACACATATGGTCTATTGTTCCATAGACATGAACTAGTGTTTCAATTGGATGATATGCCCATTATTGTCAAATAATAACTATATTGTTCAAGAAATATGAACTATTGTCCCATAAATATTATATATTGTTTCATTTATAAGAACTAGTGTTCCAATTACATGATATGCTCATAGTTCCAATTACATGATATGTCTCACCATATTAATTCTTATGTATGAACAATGTATAATATTTATGGGACAATAGTTCATATTTCCGGAACAATATAAATAATATTCGAATGAAATATTATATGAAACATCAATGATTTTTATGTATAAAACAATATCATTAGTATATGAAACAATACATATATTTTATGGAACATAAGTAGTATAAAATGAAACATAAGGTATGTTTTTTGAAACATCACTAAGGTATAAGAAATCACAGTAAACCTAGTTCATATAAAGCCCAACTATATAAAACAAGCAATAATATATATGAAACATTAATATTATAAATTGAAACACTTAATATATTTTATGAAACATCATTAACGTACACTTCAACTACATTTTAACGTAACGTTGACAACACAATTCAATGTAACATTACATTTTTTAATTGAAACAGCGACAAGTCTTTTTGAAACAATAATAACATCTTTTGAAACATCTCAAAATTATTTCTTTAATACAATAAAATAAGTAATTTAAAATCAAATATGAAAATTTTGTAAACAAAATATGCAGATTTATTACATGAATGTGCATTTTTTTTTCTTAAAAAACAAAAATTAATTGTCCTAATCAATTGAAATAAAAATCTTATACTACCTTTACCAAAAAAAAAAACGGATGATTGAACCAACCAAGCTTGAAATATGCTGGATGAGAGTGATAATGGCGTCAATGAGAAAGAGGAGATAGTTCATATATATATATATATATCAGAAAGAGGAGAAAATTATGAATGGAATAAATTAGCTAGTTAAATCTCTTGGTTTTCCAATGCAAATTAGCGTGTTTCAATGCAAGAAATAAAAAAAAAGCATGCAATAATGACAGACTTTGACAGATTGTGTGTCCCAATACAAAAAAAAAGGAGGCCCACTTGCACAAGTCATAACACCAAGATTTAATCTCAACCATCCATAACATAAAAATGGATGGTGTAAGATGGGTTTTCACCCTTAAATGGTTCTCACCTAAGCCATGGGTTCTCACATGATCCTTCTCCTATATATATACTTTAACTATTTTCACGCGTCACATGGAATTATTAGTCTATTTAAAAATTTGATACTTTGAATTCTTACTCCAAAAAAAAAAGAAAAAACGGCTAAACACTACTGCATTATTAACATATTCTTTTTGTTTGTTTCAAAATAAATAAAATAAATAAATAAATCAGACTTATTCTTCTTTGTAGGAGGTGTGTCAACTACTCTTAACTCCTTAATCTAGTCCAAAGCTCGTTTAGGGCATCTTTTTTCCCCCTATTTAAAGTAAGTCTTGGTCAAGTTCAATCTTTCTTCTTTGGACATCATTACGTAATTTTAGAGATAAGAAAGGAAGAGTGGACATGATTATATAATTATTTAGGGTTTGTTCTCATTGACTGAACTCAGCTGAACTGAACTGAACTGAATTGAGCTGAGCTGAATTGAACTGAGCTGAACTGAATATTTTATAAGAGAAGGAAATTAGGAGTTGAACTGAACTAAGCTTAGCTTAGCTGAGCTGAACTGAATTTCAACGTAAGAGAATAGACCCTTAGTCTTCTCATTTTACGTTTGTCAATACATATTGCTAATCTAATACTCTGTATTATTTTAAGGGTAATATTGCACTACATAGCCCTTAGGGCTATACATAAGCATTAAAAACACTCTTGAAAATTGTATAAAATCAGAAATTCATGACAAAAACACGCTTAGATCAGTGTAATAAGTGTATTTTTGTCATAATTTTTCAAATTTAAACAATTTTCAAGAGTGTTTTTAATTCTTATATGTAGCCCTAAAGACTATGTATAGCATTTTCCTTTTTTAATACTAGTGTTCATGTACTATAAAATTTGATGATCCCTTCGCCACAAAATAATCTTCCCATTTTAAGGGACTTGTTATTCATCGCCCGCAAATCTCTACATAAAGCCCACATTTTATAATTTTTTGACAAATTTGCCCTTTTTATAATTTTAACGGAAGATAAATTTTTCGCACTAAAAAAATGTGGAGCAGCACCGGATCGCCGAGGATCACCGGAGAATCGCCGTCGTCATCGGAAAACGAGGTTCGTAACGCATCGTAAGGACGAAATGGTGGCTGGCGCCTAGCCAAAAGGCCATGCCGTGGTTGTGGCGCCTAGCCAGGACGCCGCCACCGTGGTCACGGCGCCTGGTGGAGAAGCCTCGACCATAGTAGTGGCGCGTGGCCAGGACGCCGCAGCCACGGCCAAGGCGCCTGGCCACCATGCCGCCACCATGGCGGCGGCGTCCTGACCAGGCGCCCCGGCCGTGGCTCCGGCGTCCTGGCCAGGCGCCAGTAGGGGAATATTTTTTTATTTTTTTTTTTTTTTTATTTTTTTTTTAATTTAATCCCCTTTTTTTTTTTTGTTTGTTTTTGTTAATTTAATCTTAATGTAATTATATTTATACGTTATATGTTATTGTTACAGGATTATGGTGGAGACGGAAATGATTACAGTGGGATTTTTGTACATGATGGCCTGTTCGAAGATGCTCAACAAGCGATTGATTGGGCAAAACAGGTTGCAATTAGATCAGGCTTTTGTTTAGTAGTAGCAACTCATAAATCTCAACGGGATGGTAGAATGGATCGCATTTTGAGATGCGACCGTTATCGCAAAAGAGAAGAACGAGATTTCAGTAAAGCGATTCGGTTTGACTCAAAGCGGAAAGGTTGTGGGTGTCAGTTCCGAGTTAAGGTTCGACAACATCAAAGGCGTGACGGTTGGGAAGTGAAGGGTTACGACAAATGGGGATATCACAACCATGAGCTGATAGCATACAAAGTGGGGCATCGGCAGTTAAGCGGCCTAAGTCCAGCTGCGAAACTAGTTGTAAAAGAAATGAGTGATGCTCAAGTGAAGCCCGCTAAAATATTAGCGTCTGTGTTAGAGAAATTCCCCGAAGACCAGCCAAACCGAAGACACATCTACAACGTCAGACAGAAATTGAGGTTTGAACGGTCAGAGGGAAGGAACCCTATACAGCAGCTTCTGCACCAGGCACAAGCACGTGGTTACCTTTACTGGTTTGAATCTGACGAAGACACATCGGAGGTAACTCATTTGTTCCTTGTCCATCCTGATTGTGCTGATATGATTTCGTCTTGGCCATCTGTGATTTTGATCGATTCAACGTACAAGACAAACAAGTACAAGTTCCCACTGGTTGAGATGGTTGGGATGGCTCCAACGAACCAGAACTTTCTGATTGGTTATGCAGTCATGAAGGATGAGACGGCTGCGAGTTACCGTTGGGTGTTGGAAAAGTTGAGAAACTACATCGGCCCAAATGTACAGCCATCGGCCA